TTGTTCCGGCTGATTTGTTGTGAGAGAAAAATAATGTTCTAGCTGAAAAAACAAGCTGAAAAAGACGGATTATAAGAGAAGCGAACATGGCCTAAGATGCATCACGGCTATAGCATTAAATGCTTGTGGTTACCCTTAAACGGGACTCGAGCGGCCGGACGATGGCGACAACTTGTTTTCCCGTGCCAGAGGCCAAGAGCTAGCGATGAAGGAGGGCCAGGTCGGATCACGCCACAAACGGGCCTCATGGGGCAAGACGACGACGACTTCTTTTTCTTGCTCGAGCTAGCGACGAAAAAGGAAGCCGGGTGGGCCGAGCTCGACAGAGAACGGTCGTGTGGCCATCGATTTTTTTCAAATAATATTATTTTAATAACTAATTGTAGATCTAAGAGCTGTAATAATAAAATTGTATATTTGGACGGAAATCGGCTGTCCAAGCGCACATAGGGCTCCACTCGGCATCCCAGGGGCCGATAGGCTGATATGTGCCGACATGTCTCCCCACGAGGCGCAGATATTATCCACGTGGACCTTGTTTGTGCCGATAGCACTTTTATCGGCAATCAAGGGGCCCATAGGCCCTCCTCCCCATCAGATACTGGCGTCATCTCTACGAAGCGTCCGCATGTATTTTTCTTTTCCTTTTTTCTATTCTATGATCATTTTTTTACTGATTATCCAAAAAAACTATATTTTAGGTTACGTATTTCGATACGTAGCCATTCACGAAGCTAGCAGAAGTAGATTCTTAGCTAGCTAGCTAGATAGTAATTTAGAGCTCACAGATTTATTATTTAATTTTTTTGATATGTTTTAATACGTCTTAAAATCGAACTCCATATCATCGTTTGACACGTCTTAGAGTTAGACTCCATACCATTGCTATACGCGAGTTGTATTAACTCATATGAGTACGAGTCGTGAGCCTAGGTCACATATAGGTATAGTCTAATATCTATCTCTACGCCTAAAAAGACTCTAAAATAATCATCTATCAGATAGTACAAAATCTCGATCCTGCTTACGTATCCCCGTCCAATACGAATCATCCTCCACTCAAAATTAACTTACGCGTTCGCATCTTATCCTTCGCATCTTATCCTGATTCAATACGAAGACCGGATCCACGTGCCCACGTCTAATACAAAGTCCTTGGAGCTCACACGTCTACGTCCGAGTACTCAGGTTCAGTCTAAAAAATTGTGATTCCGGTGCAATGCACGGGCATATATATAGTTCAAATAAATGTATTGTCAAGTTATATATGCATAGACCAATACAATTCTTAACACGACAATAACTATTTTTTTACTGACTATAATAAGATACTAAAATGACATATTTAATTTGATATAGAATTAATAGGACATTGTAATATTATGGACAATATTAACTTATATTATGGATGTCTTGGTCATCATAGAGTAAATTATAGCTTTTAAATTTTTTATAGAAAAGAATGTGTCTAGAAAAGCGAAAACGATTTATAATTTAGAACGAATGGAGTAGCTTTTTTTTCCTCTATTACAACGCACGGGTATGTTTGTGTATATAGAAAAGTCACATGACAAAATACTACTTTTTAAACCATGAATTATTATTTTTTAAATTAGGGCTAAACAGCTCCCTTGAAAACTCAAATATAGAATCTGGTGCATGCGTAGAGTACACAGACAAATTTATTTGGACACGACTTTACAATAAACACCTCAAGATATTAGTTCATGTTTGATTAGTTGGACCATCAATTAATCCATGTTTCAATAAGATATAAGTTTTGTTCTCAACGGAAGTTGCATCAACAACTAGGCTTTCCATCGTCTAATATAACTTAATATATATTCTTGATAAACAGATAGAAAAGGACTAGCTAGGACCAAGAAACTCTTAGGGCATGTTCGGTTGTGGATCAATCCTGGCCTGGATTCAATCCCATTCCTCCCTAAAATACGTGTTCAGTTAGCCTATGAAACCATGTATACCGGGTCTGTTTCGATTATACAGCCGCACCCCCGCCTGCAAAGACCTGGTTATACGACCGCACCCCACCAGGAATGAAACCACTACTCTGGAGTCATGGAACGAATCCCCCGGAGGCGAGCGCGACGGCTGTGGCTCTAGGTCCTCCTACGGCATCGGCACAAGATCTTGCATACCTGCGAATTGGAGGACTCGCGATGGTCAGTCTCGCTACACACGTACCCCTGGTTCAATCCCTCCTGGATTGGTTCCACTGCAACCGAACATGGCCTTAGTGGTATTAGGAATAGAGATAGAGATAATTTTTTTGGGATTGACAAAAAAAATCTTAAAATAAAAGCAAAGGATAAAAAAAAGCGTGAGTTGCTCGTGCCTTGTAGGCGGACTCCCATTGGCCGATAGATCCGTTGGCCAAGCAACTGCCGGTTGCACCAGTCGGCTAACCAATTGCCGACTGCATCCTGCCTTGTAGTTTTACCCTGCAATTATTTACCGATAGGTCCCTTGTCGGCTAGTTTTGTAATTTTTAAAGACATCCAGATCTGCAATTAGTTATTGAAATAATATTATTTGGGAAAAAAATTCACTGGCCAGCCACACCCACAGCCGGACGTGACTCTTCTGGCACTGGATGTGATTGGAATGATCGGCTATCGTTGTCCAGGGGATGCATCTTTGGGTTGTTGCCTTGTTGGTGTGCGACCGAACGCAACGCCCATCCGATCCTCTGCGGCAGCATATATATCGATCCCAACCGGACGCCGTGCGCCGGCCTGGGCCTATGGACTGGTCAGCCCAACAAACCTCGTATCCGTCCTCTTTCGTTTACATTGCTCCTCCTTCTCCTCCGTCCGTTGCTCCTGCCGCTCGTCCCGCGCTACCTGCTCCTCCTCCTCCGCCCGCCCCGCTGCTCCGCGCGCCCGCCCCACTGCTCTTGCCGCTGCTCCTGCTCTTGCTTCTGCTCCGCGCACCCGTCTCATTGCTCCTGCCGCTGCTCCGCCGCCCACGAGCGCTGCTCCTGCTCCACCACCCATCCGGCTCGAGGACGTCGACAGGCACCGCCAGCGCAAGAAGCGTCAGGCCCTAGCGCGGAAGCCCTCCAGCCTCGCCTGCTGCTATGGCTGTGGCGCCTCGATGCAGACGGTGGAGGAGGTCACACCGGGATATGATGCATGTTGCACGCTCATATTTCAACGTTTCATATGTTTTAGAGGTATGTTGCAAGCATTTCATACGAATGTTGCAAAAGTAGATCGGGATGTTGCATTGCAATGGTTGTACACTTATGTTGCAAGAGTCTATCTCTAATGTTTCATCTGTTTCTCAAACATATGTTGCAAGCGCATTTATTTGAATGTTGCATATGTTTTTACACATATGTAGTAAGTGTTTTATCTAGATATTGTGTATGTTTGTAATGGTTTTTAAGTGTTTTTCAAATATTTTTGCAAGTGTTTCAGACACATTTGAAGTGTTTTATTTGTCTTTTTTTTTATGTTGCAAGTGTTGCATCCGAATATTTCAAAGTAGATCATGTGTTGCACATGAGATATGTGGGAAGGTGGTGGGGATGCGAGCGGTCCCCGTGGGCGCGCGGCGCGGGCCCCCTCGTGGCCGCGAGACGCAAGCACAAGCGAGCAACATTCGGCTGCCACTGGCACATGCGTGGACGTGGGAAAACAGTCTGCAGCCGCGGACGTTCGGACGCTAGCAGTGCCGTATATGGCCAGTGCCGGCCCTAGGGGTAGGCCAGGAGGTGCGACGGCCGAGGGCCCAAGCCTAAGTATACAAACCCATAGATCCTATAGTTCATTAGGCATTAGCAAACTAATGAGAAGAGAGACATAGAACTGACCAGGCGGCCTAAAAAGACAACATCAACATTTATTTTCTAATTTTCTTTCCCCACGGCCCTCGGGTAGAGAGGAGGCGAGGAGTCACGCTGCACACAGCACACTTTGATTGTGAGTTCGCGACATGTGCCTTACACACGCAGAGTTGGCGACAGCGGCGAAGCCACAGTGCATGTGTCGGGGTCATGCGACCCCGATAACTTTGTACGAATCAGTGGAACCCCGCGTATTCCGGCCAGCTACGACCCCATCAGATTGAGTTCATGAATCTGTGCGACCCCGGCAGCAGTTTAGTCTAGATTCGCCGCTGGCTGGCGAGCCACGCCGCCGCGAAGAGCTAGACTACCGGAGACACGAACACGGTGCACGAGGACGACGACCAGGCAGGGCTCCACGACGACGACATCTTGATTCTTGGCTTCTTACGAATTACGATCACCGATCAATTGTTTAGGCCCAAGTTATTTTTTTCTTTTTATTTTTAATTCAAATTAATTATTTGTATAGTATTCCAGACTTCTAGTACTTTTGTACCCATATAGTCATATTTTTCTTCTAATTTAGGTGTTAGAATTTTAAAATGTTACGTAAGAAACATTTATCATGGGTGAGAAAAGAAAACGAATATATTGCTTTTTTAATCTACATTGTTCCTCGATAATTATCATATATCTACAAATATATTGCTTAATCTACATTGTTCCTCGATAATTATCAGACATATTAAATTAAAAATATATTATTGAATTTGCTTTCGTTTTGCAAATAAAATTAGTACCTATATATTATAAGATTTTATATATGGTCACGTGGAGCCGTTGCGACGGCCCTTAAAATCCTTGGACCGGCACTGTATATGGCCATGCACCTGCGAGGAAAAAAATGAATGGAAACCGTATCCACGTGTGCCCGTGCATACGTACCTGCCCACCTTTCAGCGAGATCCGCGCGTAGAGACTGGATGGGAATGGAGGAAGTATCATCGTATATACTCAGTAGTATTTATTTTTGTTCACCCCCGTGCATGCGTCACTAAAGGGGTGCATGTGCTTCCATGGCGACTACCCCGGCAACTGCAAGGCGCCAACAGGCAACAACAACAACAACACAGCGCTGTCACGCCGTCCTCCCTAGTCCCTAGGCCGGCCGGCCGATCACATCAGATCAGACGGAGTTAGCTACGGGAGGCACCAGGACGCTGACGTGCTGCTTGTCGTCCTCCTCCCTGTCCCTGGTGGTGGCGGGGTGGTCGCTGACGCTGACCTTGGCCGCCTCGGCCGCCGCCTCGCGTCCCTTGCCCCAGAGCACGGCGTAGAGTCCCATGACGATGAGCACCGCGCCCAACGCGGTGCCGAGGTGCAGCTTCTCGCCCAGCAGCAGCGAGCTCAGCACGGCCACCATCAGCAGCATCAGCGGGCTGAACACGGACACGAACAGTGGCCCGCGCTGCTTCACGCACCACGCCATGATCACCAGCGCGACGCCCGACGCGAAAATGCCCTGCAGACGCGCATGCCATTGACGACATCCAGGCAGTCAGATCATATATATGCAGCATGATTCTATAATTTCTGTAGATTGTACAGTATATGTAGCAGCTAGCAGAACAAGTACAGACCGAGTATGCGCAGGAGAGCAGCCTGATGTTGAACTTGAGTCGCCATTGCGAGGCGTCCCTGTCGAAGCAGAGCGCGAACACGGCAGACTGCAGCGAGGTCATGATGCACATGAGGGCGGTGCTCGAGTAGTGGAACGGGTACTCGTTGCTCAGCTTCGCCTGCACGACGATCCAGAGCGCGTAGAAGAAGCAGCTGCTGACGCACAGCAGCGACCCCATGGCGTAGTTGGTGGTGGCCGTGGCGTCCACGTGCCCGTCCAGGTGGTGGTGGTGGTGGCGGCGCTGGGCGAGCGTGGCGACCAGGTCCAGGTGGCTGTGCCAGGGCGTGATGTCCACGCCCTTGTAGAAGGTGAGCAGCATGGCCCCGCCGATGCCCAGCAAGGTCCCCGTGACCTTGGCCTGGCTGGAGAAGGCGCGGATGTCGAGTCTCTCGTAGCGGAAGGCGAGGGCGATGACGAAGGTCCACGCCGGGAGGAGGTTCGTTGTCGCGGAGGCGAAAGTGGCCGAGGTGAACTTCATGCCGGCAATGTACAAGTTCTGCGCCACCGTGCCCCTGCATGCATGCGTGGGTGCACAACAACCAGCGAGCGAGCTAGCTAGCATCACATTCATTCTTGGTTTATTTGTTTCGACGATCGTATATTATTCATCCATGCCATTGCCAGTGTATAAAAGAAATGCATAGAATCAGGAACGGCACGATAGCGAATCTCGACATGCTGGACCTAAACGAGAAATGCATGTAAATCAGGCATGGACGACGATACGATGTTGAGGTGAGGAGCTAGCATCAGCTGGTGGTTGGATATCACGTGGTGTCTACGGCCAACTAACTTTGAATTTCCACATGTATGTATAACATGTTGCCAAAAAAGACCACGCCAGGGATATATACCAGTAAATAAAGGTGGTTTCAGGAGTTGTTTGGATCAACTAATGCCGATAGTTAGCTAGCCAATAGCAAATATCTACTAACTATTAGCCAGCTAATTATCAATAGGGGACCGTTTTTGCTAATGCAACTAATAGTTAGCAACTCATAAGCTAATAGTTAGTTGGTATATTAGCATGTCTCTTTGGATCCATATATAGCCTGTTGGATCCCTGCAATTAATAGCTAGCTGCTAAAAATTAGATGAGGATCTATTTGGATCATCAGCTAGTAAGCCTAGCTAATGTCTCACCTACCACCTAGCTAACAATTAGCTATTAGATGTTTTCTCCTAGCTAACACAATTTATATTTAGCTGGGTGGATCCAAACAGGACCTAATAACACCAATTTTAGCTGCTAACTATTAGCACTAGTGGTTTCTAACATGCCCTTAATTAATTTGCTTGCCCTGTTCGCTTGAACTTATCAGCCTGACTTATCAACCATTGATACATTGTTTTTCTCTCACAACAAATCAACGAACAATACTTTTTAGCCTGATTTTTCAGCGAAGCGAACAGCGCCATGACATATTCTGATATATGCTACACCGGCACCGCAACTTCTCGCGAGGCTCTTCCATTGTCAGCGATGGCGAGGGGTGACCTCACTGTGCCATCCATGTCCCCCACGACTGCCTTTCACTAACCACTCGGATGCTCACAAATTTTCTATCTATCTCGCTCACTGGTTGTCCACAACACACTAGGTAGCACCGTCATTGCCTCACCTCATACTCGATCCATCGCCGCCATCTCTTTATTGTTAGGTCCCATCCTCCCTTATACATTTGACTCTAGTGCTAGCTCCAACCCATACCACCGTTTCCGAAGTGAACAATGAATAGTTAGATTAAAATAAACAAAATTAAGTTCTAGTTTAGGATCAGACGGGTGGTAAAAATCAATACTTTAATTTCTTGTTTGGAAGAAAGTAACATTTATGGGACATAACGTAACACATATTAAACCTACCCTGAGAGGCCACACGCGAACGACAGAATCAGCACCCTCCATGTCATCTTTGTTCGGTTCTTCCTGAAATTATTAAATGGTATGGTAGATATTATAAAACATAAGCTTCAAGTGAAACAATGCGTGCATGAGCAGTGTAACTGATCAGTCAGTGAATTTTTTGTTTTAATTTGCATGCACATGTGTGGTTAGTGCAAGAAGAATGATAGATAGACATGCTGGTTCCAAAAAAAGAAAAAAGAGCAACAATACATACATGAAGATGGAAATTAAGATGTGAAAAAATAAAGAAATAAAGGCTCTATGGAGGCCCCATGACATAGTAGACACTAGAGTTACCAATACAAAACAAAATTAGAGATTGTTTGGATCCCATGTTATATGAAAATAAGTTTTAGCCCAACAACTACTGGCAAAACGATGTTGGGATGCGCTCACTAACTTGGGATTATCTAAAACAAGTTATCCATAACCTAGACAAGTGAGCATTAACAAAAATGAGTTTTTTTTTGTGTGTTTTCAAAGAATCACCTGATGATGTACAGTATCTCTATTGCCAACATCCAACAAATCTAGCAATCAATCCACATATATCCCGAATTTGAGTCTTTCCCTCACTATCTATCCACTACTACAGAAAGCATTTGTAAAGACTGGCCACTCCGTCTGCTTCTACATGTGATTTCTAAAAGCGGTCGTCCAACCGTCCTAAGAAATTGATTTCTAGAGACGGCTAAAAATACAGCCACATTAAACACGAAGTAATTAACAAATAACCGACCACGAACTGGATTTCCTATAATAATTCCAACAAATAACCTTGTTTGACTAAAACTCGCTTCTAATCCAAACAGTGACTAAAAAATAGACGCCTAAAAGAAGCTGCTGGAATAGCGTTAGCCTAGTGTTGTAACGCGCGTGCACAATTGCCTGGTCCGGCCGTACACAAGGCAAGTCCACATCAAGAAAACCACGAGGACCCTACCATATTATATTATGTATTCCAACGCGCACAATTGAGTGATTCACGAGAGCTTCCATTTCTTTTAATTTGGAGGGTAATAACAGAGGAAATACTACTGCTACCATGCATTATCTAGTACCTCTCGAGGAAATAGGCGAGCGGTGCGAGGAAGGCCGAGGCGAAGAGGTAGCGGTAGGTGATGAGTACCCTTAGATCCATGCCGTCCGACACAGCTAGCTTATAAAAGATGTTAAGGCCTGCAAAGAGAATCTGGAACACGACCATCCCCAGCACAGGTCCGGCACCGGCACAGGCCGCCATTGCGCGGGACGTACGGCCGCCGGACGACCGGGAGCGTTGGAGAATCAGAATGGATGGAGAGAACACGGGGCCGCCGGCGGTTGGACGAACAACGAACGACGGCTCTTCTTCCCCGCCCTCTGATCTCGACGGAGAAGGGGCGTATAGGTGTGGCCGGAGGAGCCGGCCGGCCGGGACCGAGAGAGACTACTCGATCGTTCGCGCACTGAATCCGTCCGGTTGGGCCGCCGATGCATGGATCGGCTACCGTGTTGTGTGCCGGCCGGAGAGGTTTTTTTTGTTACGGCGACCGAACAAGGGGTTTAGAGTATATGTAGGCCAGCAGGCCAGGTAGCTTTTGTTTTCAGCGAGATCCGCATATAGGGACTGGATGGGAGTGTATCACACATGTTTTCGTGCAGTCCCATGCATGCGCCGTCAAAGGGGTACAGGGGCCGGCAAGGCAAGGCGGCAACAGCACCGTCAGCACGGCAGCATATGCCTAGCTGGTTTTTGTCCTTCATTATTCCGCAGATGAGTCCAGATCTCCACGCATGGGCATGGGCGTGGGCATGGCCATGGCATGCATATATGCTTCGCGGTTTTCTTCCTCTCTCCGAGAGCGAGCGAGAGGTCCTGGTCGTTCCGTTTCCGCGCATGCAGCTAGCCCCGATCGATCTACCACCGGAGACGCGCTCTTTGCTCAGTGCTCGGCGCTTCGCCGAGTGTCGAAACACGGGCACTCGGCAAAGAGGCAGTTTGCTAAGTGCCGCACTCGGCAAAGCCGGCCCTCGACAAAGGCCGTCTTTGCCAAGTGTCAAACACTCGGCAAACGTCCTATTTACCGAGTGTCAGACACTTGGCAAAGAATAACCCTCGGCAAAGTACCTCAGCCGACGCCGGTGGCCCCTCTGTCATCCTTTGCCGAGTGCTGGCCGTTAGCACTCGGCAAACGTGCTGTCTTTGCCGAGTGCTGCAAGCCTGGCACTCGGCAAAGAGGTTCCTTTGCCGAGTGCCAATTCCGACACTCGGCAAAGTATTTTATTTTTTTTTTTATTTTTGTTTTCAAATTTTTTCTGTGGCATTTATACAGGACCTTGAAGCACATGTTCTAATTTGAAACTTTTCTATGACTTTTTGGTATATTTTTTTAATTTTTTATGTTTACTTGAATTTTTCTCGAAAAAGTAAATTTGAACTGCGGGTGCATGAAATATTAGAATTTAGCGATTCAAAAAATGGTATTCATGTTTTTGAGTGTATTTTGAGGCCGTGTGCAGGGACATTCGTGAAATTTCAAACATCTGTTTCACGAAACATGACCACCAACTTGTTAAAAAAGTGTTTTTTAATTATATAAAATGCAAACGAAGTCTGAAAATCACGAAACTTGTCGTGTGATCACATGTGGAGATGTCTGGGTTTTAGGCATCGTACGTCACAACTTGCTCGGAAACTTCTAAATTTTTTATCACAGCCTCTACATGCGATGACACGACACCTCGACAAGTTTCATGATTTTCGGACTTTGTTTGCATTTTATATAATTAAAAAACACTTTTTTAACAAGTTGGTGGTCATGTTTCGTGAAACAGATGTTCGAAATTTCACGAATGTCCCTGCACACGGCCTCAAAATACACTAAAAAACATGAATACTATTTTTTGAATCGCTAAATTCTAATATTTCATGCACCTGCAGTTCAAATTTACTTTTTCGAGAAAAATTCAAGTAAACATAAAAAATTAAAAAAATATACCAAAAAGTCGTAGAAAAGTTCCAAATTGGAACATGTGCTTCAAAGTACTGTATAAATGCCACAGAAAAAATTTGAAAAAAAATACTTTGTCAAGTGTCGGAATTGACACTCAGCAAAGGAACCTCTTTGCCGAGTGCCAGGCTTGCAGCACTTGGCAAAGACTATTCAGAATTTTTTTTATTATTTTGGATTAAAAAACCCTGAATTTCTTTGCCAAGTGCCCGCATCTCGGCACTCGGCAAAGAGCCGCCCCACTTAACCCTAGCGGGTCGGCCGACCCTGCACCGCCGTCGCGCAACCACTGGCACCGCCCCGGCCCCGCTCCGCCGCCGGAAGCAGGCCCCGCCCTGGCCCCACTCCGCCGCCGTAGCCAGCCGGCCCCACCCCGGCCTGGCTCCACCGCCGGACGCGGCCCCGTCCCGGCGCCACTCCGCCGCTGCTCCGCCGCCGTAGCCGGCCCCGCTCCGCTGCCGGTGGTGCCCTGCCCGGCTCCTCCCCGCCCCTGACTCGCCGGAGTGGAGGAGAGGAGGAGCTGGGGATCCAGTAGAGGAGAGAAGGGAGGCGGAGGAGAGGAGAAGGGAGAAGGAAGAAGGAGAAGGGAGGAGAAGGAGAAGGAGAAGGAGAAGGAGAAGGGAGGAGGAAGGAGAAGGGAGGAGGAGGAGCCTCGGCCACCGGCCACGCCCCTCGCCGTTCGTCCCCGCCGTTGTCCCCGCCCCTCACTGGAGACGAAGGTGACCCCGGCACTGCGTCGCCCGACTCCACTGCCACCCAAGATATAAAGCCCCCCGGTTGTCGGCCTTCGTGCCTTGTATGTCATTGACGGCCTTCGTGCCGTACGTGGATGTGTGGGCCTTCGTGCCGTATATATGCTGTCGGCCATCATGTCGGCTTTTATCTTGCAGATTTTGGAAACCTCCCCATATAGGGGAGGTTCTGCCGAAAATTTTAACTTATAGTATTATAATTCTTCTTTTGCAGAGCAGGACCCGTCGGAGGGGACCCAGAGTACGTAGGCGACCCCGATCATCTTCGTCGGTGCTGTGGTCCTGCCTGCACAGCGTCGCCTCGCCACTGCCCCGCTAGCCTGACTCCACCGCCACCCTAGGTATAAATAACCTTTCTTCCTTATCGTTGTTGTAGATCGGTGTAACCTAGTTAGGCGTCTCCTGTTCGAAACAGATATGGTTGGAGGTATGCGGATCTTCGCATATCTAAGACCGTATCTGTTTTAGATTGTCCATTTTTTTGGACAGCCCGTGGATGCGTAGATGGGGTAGTTTTCATGTTCTGCTTCGATCCGAGATAGAGTTTCGGCACCACCTCCCTGTTGTTCTTCGGATACACACTCTCCCTTCCAGGACGTGTATCGGGAGAACAACGGGGAGGTGCTGCCGAAATTCTATCTCGGATCGGAGTAGAGCATGTAAACTAACCTCATCTACACATCTGCAGGTGGGATTATGACCTATCCTCACCCATTAGACAGTAGGCACACCGCTCAGATGCAATTGGTGGTTATATTACTCACTCATGTATATGCTAGAGGATGGATAACCGTGAGTGGATGTACACGGGCCGCCCAAGTCAGGCTGAAATCACCCCTGAATGGATGGACAAGACCGAGGGTTTCTTGAACCAAGCATTTGGCAAGACAGCTAATGGAGCGAGAGGCACATTCTGTCCCTGTAGCGAATGCGAAAACAGGAAAAGAAAAACAAGGAAGATCATGGGGGAACATCTTTGCAAGTATGGATTTACGCCAAACTATACCCGGTGGGTGTTCCATGGTGAAGCCCATCGTGCTAGAGAGGAGGTGGTGAGACCACGCTTGGAGGCATTTGATGCTGATGGTGGGGTAGCAGGATGGTTAGGTGACTTTCACGAAGCAACGTTCGCTGAAATACCTATGGAGGAGGAGGAGGAGAAGGAGGATGAGGAGGAGGAGCCAGAGCCAACCGGAAAGGCGTTCTACCAAATGTTGTCTTCGGCACAGAAGCTCCTACACGAGAAGGCAACGGTTTCTCAACTGGATGCCATTGGACGCCTAATGGGGTTGAAGTCCCAGTACAACATGAGTCGAGCCTGCTTCGATGGTAAGTTGGCAGTTATTGGTGGGCTACTTCTGGAGGGTCATATTCTGCCGAGCAGCTTCTACGAGTCACAGAGACTCCTTCGTGCACTTAAGATGCCCTATGAGCAGATACATTGTTGTCCGAAGGGGTGCGTCCTATTTAGGAAAGATCACAAGGATGCAAAGTACTGTCCAAAGTGTAAATCCTTTAGGTATGTGGAGGTAGACAAAGGTGATGGCCAGAAGGAGCAGCTTGAGATCCCCATGAAAGTCCTACGGCACCTTCCGATCATACCGAGGCTCCAACGGCTATTCATGACCGAGGAGTCCACGAAACAGATGACATGACACAAGAATGGCATTCGATACAATCCCGACAAGATGGTACATCCAGCTGATGGTGAAGCATGGAAAAGCTTTAATCGCAAGCATCGTGACAAAGATCTTGAGGCCCGTAATGTACGTGTTGCGCTGGCAACGGATGGGTTCAATCCTTATGGAATGATGTCAGCCCCATACACTTGTTGGCCCGTGTTCGCTATCCCCCTTAATGTCCCCCCGGGGTCCTCCTTCAACGGCAAAACATATTCTTGACGTTGATAATTCTTGGACACCCGGGAAACAAAATGGGTGTGTACATGGAGCCTGTTTATGATGAATTGATCAGTGCTTGGAATGAAGGGGTATGGACTTATGACTGAGCTACAAAGAAAAACTTCAAAATGTATGTTTGGTACCAGTACTCCATGCATGACTTCCTGGCGTATGGGATATTCAGCACCTGGTGTGTCCATGGGAAGTTCCCATGCCCGGTATGCAAGACAACTCTGGAGTTCATTTGGTTGAAGAAGGGTGGCAAGTTTTCGTCGTTCGACAAGCATCGACAGTTCCTCCCTCTTAACCATGCATTCAGACAAGACACCAAGAACTTCACGAAAGGTGTCAAGGTAACCGACCCTGAACCTCAGAAGATGACCGGTGCCCGGGTTCATGCTCAGATAGATGCTCTCGTGGTCAATCCACAGAAAGATAGTCGAAAGAAAGATAATCCAAAGAAAGATTGCTTTGTGGGATATGGTGTTGAACATATGTGGACTCATAAGTCGGGCTTGGAGAGGCTTCCCTATTTTGATAACCTTCTCCTTCGACATAATATAGATGTAATGCACACTGAGAAGAATGTCACCGAAG